ATCCATGGCGGCAAACGGAAATTTGATTTGAACTTGTCCTCTTGATTTTTGCACATTTCTTCTTTGAAACGTATTTTAAATTCCTAAAACGAATATACTAAGAAAGTTCGGTCTGCGTCCTAATATAATACACCTACTTTTTCTCGGTAACAGGCAGTAATCTCAGATAAAGTTAGTTTTTCTTCTGCTCATGGTGGTTCTGCAGGTTCAAACAGGCCGTTACAGTTCTAGATCAACGTTACTCCCAAATGAAATTAATCGGTCGACGACGGACTGAAACTAACCTAAAGTTAAAAAAATATGAGTGGGTACCTGAATTTGGGCAAAAATCAACCTAAAATACTTTGTTTCCGCAATTTTATTTATTAGTTCCCGCCCTACATTTGAATTCAAACTTGTCCCGATTTCGCCGCCAATCCTCTAGCCAATAGTAGAGGTGATTGAAAAGAAGCTCTAGAAGCTTCATTTTTTGCTTTTAGTGCTCCGTCTTTATGTCTTTGGTTCGCATAGAGTTCGCGTTAGCTTTCAGTTAATTCCTACTTAGCATTCCTGGCCATTGGAGAATACGTGTGAGAGTGTGTGAGTAATATCTCCCAAGAACTAAGGGAAGCCGCCGGGCTACGTTTGGCGGGTTGCATACGTTTCCCGGTTACCTCCCATACATTTAGTACAGTGACATACATTTAATACTTTTATTCCACAATCCACAATTTAAAATGTGATTCTGCCGAACAAATTTGTTTCTTTCGATAAAACTAGCCGAAATATTTAACTGAAAATTCCACGCCCGGAATACATTCACTTTCTCAAGTAAAAAAATCAACTTTTTAAGTCCTCCGCTCTACGATCCCGTGTGTTTTCGGGAGTTACGAACATTTAACCTCAAAACCATGGCCAGGAATGCTAACAAAGTAGGAATTGTTTCAGCTCAGTTTTGTTATATGTAGTGGTTTTGTCCTTTGAGCCCAGAATTCCAGAATTTCCAGAAAGCACGACCACTTGAGTATTTTCATGTTCAATTTTTTCAAGTTTCTCTGAGTCTCATCTTCAGAGTAGGTATGTATTACAATTAATTATCTTTTAGGGTGTGTATGTAGGCCTTGTCTCATTGTCTCCCCATGGCGTAAACATGTGATTTACTGATTTGTCTCAGGGTGAAGTGTAACCCACGGAGTTGCGAGAAATATGGAGTTATCCAATGTTAATTTCACTACCTGCGGGTCCATTATTGAATCTTTTGTGAATGATGAATCCCTATTGTAGCGATGCTTTTTATTGATCAAGGTCACTGGATATCCATTCAACAATGGAGGACACCACACAAATAACAGCATATACGGGTATAGGTTGTTACTGCTCCATCATCGGCTGTGATTCTCCGTACCGATTACTCCAGAATTTTACGCATTTTACTAATTTAAACGATTCATTTGTTCTTCTCTTCTCTTCTCTCCTTCCGTCCATTGACCGAGATACAACATTTTTTGGACTCACTGACGCGACCGGCTCGATGCTCTCAGTGAAACGGTGCCTTTTTATCCCTGACGCCAGCTTCAGTTTTACCAGTGGACCCATTTTACCACATAGGTACAAGTCAGACTCTTTGGATTAACTATGCTACATCTAAATCATGGTTGCTTTTATTGTAAGCTTACCATATGATTTGGATTAAAATGGAAATGCAATTGGATGGAAAAATTTGAATTAAGTTTTGCTATAAAACCATGTTGTGATGTGGGTGTTATTCTCGGTTTTTTTTTTTTTTTTTTTTTTTTTTTACCTTAGAGGTAATCCACACTTGTTTACGCATCGAGCCGGTCGCGTCAGTGAGTCCGAAAAATGTTGTATCTCTGTCAAATGGACGGAGAGAAGAGAAGAACAGATGAATCGTTTAAATTATTAATCCTGCACCCCGTATCTCGGCTCCCATTGCATAGATTTTTGTAAAACTTTCGAATTTTCAGTCCTATTTTCGAAATATGTAAATCGTAGATAACGGATGTGGCCTAAAATGCTATCTCGGCTCCTATCGCATCGATTTTAGTAAAACTAGGTATCAGGGCGTATTTTTCGACGAAAAACTCGAATTCTCTGTCACTTTTTCAAAATTCCGAAATCCAAGATGGCGGATGTGACCTAAAATGCTATCGACTTCTACTGCATCCATTTTCGTTGAGATAAGTACGAGGGGATATTTTTCGACCAGCAACTCGAATTTTCAGTCCAATTTTCAAATCCAAGATTGTGGATGAGGCCCAAATTGCTATTCTACCTTCTGATTTTGATAAATTTATTTTTGTTTAATTTGGTCCCTTTGTCTCAAGTAGCCTATGATTTGTGCTTAAACTCTCTCATTGAGTCAGATTAATATTAACTTTATTCGCTCAAGGTGCTTTCGATAGAATTATTTCAAATTATAGTATATAGTAAATATAGCATATATGTAGTACAATTAGTATTTTGTAATGGTAAAAACTGTCAAGGGTCAGCCATTGATTTTTCACGGATCTCGCATGCTTTGTAACAGGGGCCAAGTCTGAAAGGCGTAAACAATTGTAGTTATGGCATCGTCTGATCATTAGAAAGTGATTTGTAATAGCACGGATCTGATTGCCACTGACACTTTTGAACCATCACTTCCTCCCTTAATATATTCTTACCAAGTCTGCTTATTGTTTACAGGAAATACTTAGCAAGAACTACAAAGTAAATCGTCCAAACTACAAACTGAAGGGAAATACTTAGCAATAATTAAAACAGTAAATCGTCCAAACTACTAACAGAAGGTAAGCACAAGTTTTAACCAATTTATTTTAATTTTTTGGCGTACGACATGGCTCGGCCTCCTAATGGTATTAACCCCAATGAGAAAATGTCTCACCAACTAGAGGTAATGGGTCACTACACTGTGTTTATTTTATTTGTTATCCCGAACGTACTAGGTGAGTAGATAATGTGGTGATTTTTCCGCATTTTTATGGAGCCGAAATCGCGGAGAAATCCGCTTGTGAAAAATCCAAAAACAAGAAGACATTTCAAACACAGCCAAATGGCAGGAAACTAACGACGGCGATGTACTGCGGTAGTCAAATCGCAATCTTCTCTCATTCTCCACTGATGTGTGTTAAAATGAAAATGTCAATGTGAAATCATCGCTTGTTTATACACGCACAGACCGCCATAATTTTTTAACGAAACCATAGATCAATTTGATCTTGGGCTCAAATGAAAGCTCTCTACAAGACCTTTCATCGAAAACCAATTTAAATGAAAGCCCTTAATTCAAGCTTTAAAACGAGCAACAGTTCAACTTGGGGAAACAAACGGTTCAAAAGTTATGACCGTTCGAAGTTGGCGGGGCGCGCTATTTTCAAAGCGCGTGGAGTGTATACTTGCGTGCCACCCCTTCCTACCTTTTCCCCTCGTGACCTTTTCAGCTGATGACGGATGAAGAAAGGCCCAAAGCTCCTTCCACCTAAAGAATGATCAATCATTAGTGCAAAATTACTTTTATTTCTGTCGAAAATAGGAAAATAATATTAAATTAAATGCTAATAAACGATAAAAAGCTGGCATAGATTATTTTTTTGCACCCGACTCTCCCCCCCCCCACACACACTAAATGAGGCTGAAGAGAGGTGAGAGAGAGATATTCAGTAGTAAATGCGAGTTTCAAGTGCTGGTTGGCTAGTTGCGTTCTAGAGCCTTTGAATATTTTCTACAGCTCTTGAGTGTATTTGGCGGTAAAAAAGGCTTGATTTGGCTATTAAATATTAAATCATAGAGGTGGGGGGGGGGGTGCGAAAAAATAATGTACGCCAGCGTCTTATCGTTTATTAGCATTTAATTTATTTTTATTTTCCTATTTTCGACAGAAATAAAAGTAATTTTGCACTAATGATAGATCATTCTTTAGGTGGAAGGAGCTTTTGACCTTTCTGTATCCGTTATCAGCTGAAGTGGGCACGAGGGGAAAAGGGAATACGTCAACGGGATGAGTCGGCCCCCCTGGCCTCGGCCAGCCCATGTACCTGATGTACCCGATACTGTGTGACGTCCAGAGGGTACGAAATGCGTCCACCATTCTTTATTCGCCTTGTTATTATCCTATGTTTGCGAATCACGAAGCTCATAGTTGCATAATATTTTTCGAACTTTGCCCCGAATATTATATATTTACTGAGACCGGTATAAAGAAATGATAGGATCCTGACCAACAAGTAAGTCACACAAATGCCTTGCAATTGACCGATAATTCAAGATCTTGTCATTTGTTCGGAAACAGTGTCTTCATCATGAGTGTGTGCAACAATCCAGCTGATGGCTTATGATATATTGTGTCATTAGTCATAAAGCTTTGACAATCGAACGCAGTTGAGAAGGTAAGTTAAGATCCAGCAGCATCAATCCATTTTCTAACAACCTGAGGACGCTTTGCCTTTGCCATAAAGTTTGCCGAGCATTGCGGCAGCAGTCACAGCCTGTTCGACTGTCAATTTGTCCTGTTTTACGGAATGCGCCGACCAGGGATGCCTATTCTGTATTTAGAGAGGAAGGACAAGTCATCTGAAAAAGGTTCTAGTCTGTTGAACCTTCGTCAAATGACCCTGAGAGCTAAATCTCTCCCTTAGCACCAGCTTTTGTCAATTAAGGACATTGTACAGTAATCCTAAAATCCAGGTGTAGGCTGATTGTTGGAACAATGTGCCTGAATTCTTCAAACGAGACATAAATGGAATGGAGCTCCATGATTGGTCAGCTATGTCCATTGGACAATCCGCCTTGGCGTCACAAACCCTACATTGGACAGAGTAATCGACCGGCTGTAAGTGTGGTGAGATAAGTTGACACTTACTTACTTTCGATTTGCAGGTGCAGACAAGGAATTTGCGCCTCTTCGCTAAGAGTCTTGCACCACTGTTCACCTTAAGAACATCTGTCTGATGATTGTATCGTAAAAATACCACTTATCAGTCGTGATTTGTGATTTCTGTGAAGCTAAAAATTAAAGTGTCACAAGGTTTGAAAGTATTAAAAAAATCTATCCAAGCTTCTGCTTCTGCAGGAGTCGAATGTTTTCATGTGGATAGCCGTGACACAAAAACGCCTGCAAATAGAAAGCAAACAAGTGTCAACTTATCTGACGGCACCTCTGTAGACCTTCCCTCCTGGCTGACCATATCTTATCTCACATAGGGCTAAGATTCGGTCGTCTGCTTGACCAATTACACACCTCCTTTCCCATTATCAGGGGGAGGCCCACGTGTCTGCCCCTGATTTTAATATTTATTTAGGAAAATGTGATTCCTAGAGAACTAAAATACGTCCAACTGTTCCCGCAGCAGAGCCTTTAGAGAGCCACAGTGAATTTCTAAAAACTGCTAATTCTCCGCACGAAACTGTTCAACAGGGTGTCCCTAAGAACAGTCTACCCTAAACAAGTTGCGCTTTCTGGACAAGAAAGTGTTCCATTTAGTTTAAAAAGCAGCTTTGGCCAAGTTTCAGACTTCTAGGTGAAGTTTAAGTGCTGCTGCATCGCATATTTTTGAAATGTAAAGGTAGACGAATTTCATCGATTTAATGATTTTTTTTAGAGATGAAGCAGTCAGGGTAGAGCTCTAAAAATTTGAGATTGTAGCCTCCTAGTAGACTACTTTTGACATGAATTAAACTTTTGGGCTTGTGAGACGCGCAAGTATTTTTTAAAAATTCGGAAACTTGACCGAAAACGCTGTTTCGGAGAAATATTGCCGGCATCGTATGGACCAAAGGTAGTCGACTTCTAATAGTATAGTTTTGACCAAAAATAATAGTTTCAGTTCCAGAAATGGAAACTTTTGAAAATCTCTGAACTTCCTGAGAAACACAAAATCTGGCTTTAACGTCCGTAGAATATTTTGTTTTGCAATCTGCAAAGGATGCGGAAAAAAGTTGGCTTCTCTCATCATTCGATGTAATAAACAAGAACAGGATAAAATAGTGTTGATAGAGCAAAGAGGAGAAAAACAAGAAGTAGAAAGATAACATGAAAGCAGATTTTGTTCTCGGAGACAGAAGTTTTAGATACCGATACTTACATGCAGAGTGCGATACGCACTGATTCTACTTAGGCAATATCGCTTATTATTCCGTGAATTTAGGTGAAGTCGGGTAACGGGTTGGGGCGGAGGGGTAACTGGGCCATACCCAAAGACATAAAGACAGAGCACTCGTATCTACTAACACGGGGGAGAAGTGATGCAGCCTTGGCGCTCTGCATTTGTGTGAGTGTGTAAATAAGAGCGGGAATCCATGGCGGCAAACGGAAATTTGATTTAAACTTTTTTCCTTGATTTTTGCATATTTCTTGTTGTAAACTCGTTTCAAGTCACCGAAACGAACAAATAATTAATGTTGGGAAAAAAATAAAATGGAAAAATTTACCAAATTTTGTTCGCTTCTAAGTAAAAATTACAAAAATCACTTCGAACTAATTTTAAAGGGGTGTTTGGACCCCCAAACACGTCAATTCAAAGGTCATTCAATTTTCCCGCGAAATAAGCCAATTTCCCCTTGATTTGCATCCACATTATCTCAGTAGGGTCAAAATTAGTTCAAAGTTACGCTGGCAAGTCCCCAAATTTCGGGAAAAGTTCAAAGAACGAAATTTAAGGTGATTTTTGAGTGTTGAAATTTCGCGGGAAAATTGAATGACCATTGAATTGACGTATTTAGGGGTCCAAACCCCCCCTTAAAATTAGTTCGAGATGATTTTTGCAATTTTTACTTAAAAGCAAACACAATTTGGTAAATTTTCCCGTTTTATTTTTTTCTTTACGATAATTTTGAACTGGAGTTAGGATTTTTTGAAAATAGGTCAAATTTGACCTTTGACCTATCATAACTCGGTCAAAAATTAAGGTATTGATCGTGGTTTGCGCCAAAATTCTTAGTTTTTTATGCTCTTCGAATGAGGTATCACAAGATAGGGGTCACCATTTAAAAAAAAAGTTGGGGGCCCCCCACCTAAGGGGGACCAAAATGATGACCCCCTCAAAAGATGGTCCTCTTTGAGATAGGAACATTCCCACAGTTTCATTACTAATTCATTCAAAAGTTAGCAGGGGTGGGACGGACTATTGTTACACCCTGTAGAATGAACTTAGTAAGGAAGTGGCTGGAAATTTTTGGCGCTTCATTCTACCACAAATAGCCTTGCGGCTTAGGCTTTTTTACTTATTTTTTAAAAATTTATCATCCTATATTGTACTGAAACTGGCCAAAAAGTGTCCTGAAATATATTATTTCTTGATAAGTAGTAATACTGAAAGTTCTAAGCATTTATCTAGAAGGAAACAATTTTTGTTGACTGTAATTCAATTCTCAGATTTGAGGGTTTTTTTGCCCCTAACTGTTACGACATCATTTTTGACCACTTCAACATTTTCACATACATTTAAATGACATTTTCTCAAACCTTCATGAAAAAGACATCACCTTCCGGCCAATGAGAATTCAAAATAATTTCCTCCTCAAAAATTAAGAGGAGGGGGGGTTTAGTCCAGTTACCCCACGATGCTGGGTAACAGGGTCAAAAAACCAGATTTGTGAAAATTTGTGGGAAAAATTGAGAGATGAAGTCCGACTTTTGACTCATCCTACATTTAGGCTAGGTGTTATACTTATTAAAAATAAAATAAAAGTAGCTGTACTGTCAATATAATGTTAGGATAAAAATTATGAAGTTGAAATTTTGACATTTTTCTCCGAAGTCTTGCCCGGTTACTTGACCTCACCTTGCTTCAGGTTTTCGATCATGGTAAAGTCCATTAACTTTATTATACAGGGTGATCCAAAAGTCCCTTCCACCCCCCCCCCTAACTTTTTACCTAATTGAGGTAAAGATTTGAAACTTGGGGGATATTCCTAGGTCAAAGGGAGCTACTTTTTGGCCCCCCTAAAATTTTCAGGGGGCCCCCCACTTTAAATTTTCAAATGGGAAGACCCCCTTTGTGATAGCTCGTTGGAAAGAGCATAAAAAAAAAACTTTTCGCCCAAACCCGAAGTCAATATCTCAAACCGTTTCAAAATGGCGGCCGGTTAAAGTTCAAAATGGCCGAAAATTCACACCGGTTATTTGTTGATGGATTTGCGCGAAAATCGGTACGTAGGGGTATTTTGACACGAGAAAAACGAATTTGACGTTAGATTTTCAAAAAAACCGAAAGGACGACGGACCGGTCTTATGGGAAAAGTGGGCCCGGTTAAATCGGCTGGCGTTTTGATATGTTATAGATCTTAACCTACTGATCAAAAGTGTCACTGGGCATTTCTCCCTATCTCGAAGATTTTGTCATGTTTTGGAGTTTTTTTTTTTTTTATCCCAATGAAACAGACTGCATTTCGGAAGGTCGACTGAGATGGAGCACGGAATATGCTGTATGAGAAAGGAGGCTTCTCAATCCGCACCCTCCCTCGCAATAAGATCTCTCAGCATAGGTAAGTGTTGCACTGACACTAGTAGAGTGACACTTTTGAATGTGGCTAGGACGATTAAAACCCCTCCTGCCCCCCCTTCCCCCTTCCCCCTTCCTCCCTCCCCCCCTCCCCCCCCTCCCCCCTTCTTCCTTGCCTTTCTTGACATTCTACAAAACTGTTTAATCCTCGATAATAATGTGCGATTTCATTTAAAAAATCACCTAGATGATATATTTCTGAAATCAACCGACGTTATATACGTCTCAGCCGTAGGAATAATCTGCACCATTAGCTTTCGCTTATAGAAATATTGGGCTCAGTCGGAAAAGCGTGTCAACTAAAACGACCCTCGGAATTATGTATGAGTGATGGTGGTGGTAAAAAATGCCACTATACTAGTGTCAGTGCCACACTGACCTATGCTGAGAGATCCTATTGCGAGGGAGGGTGCGGATTGAGAAGCCTCCTTTCTCATACAGCATATTCCGTGCTCCATCTCAGTCGACCTTCCGAAATGCAGTCTGTTTCATTGGGATGGAAAAAAAACTCCAAAACATGACAAAATCATCGGTTTGATGCAACTCGCGAGAGCTAGTTTCGCTGCCCGAGTTCTGCATCTTAGTAGACCTTTCAAGAAGCAGCCTGAGTCACTTGCAAAAAAGTTCTCCAAAACATAATAGAAGGATAGGTTTGATCCGACCCGCGCAAGCCAGTTACGCTGCTCGAGTTCGGTCGCACCCCCCCCCCTCCCGCCCGGGGGTATATTCTGAGCTGCATCTTAGTCGACCTTTCTAGATGCAGTCGCAATCATTTGCATAAAAAATTCTCCAAAACATGGCGAAAGAATCGGTTTAATGCGGCTCGCCGACTCTGAAATCGGTGGCGTGAACACCCCCCCCCCTTACCCATAAGGCAAAATTGTCAGTTTTTGAGTTCGGATGGTCTCTAGCCTATTCAGAGGATACAAAAGACTCAAGAAACCATCAAAGAATCTCATAGGCGACCAATAAACCCGGGTGTCAAAACTGCCAATTATACGCCGAATTGGCAACTTTGACCCCCAAAATGGGGGGTAAAACTTCGAGATAGGGAGAAATGCCCATTGACACTTTTGATCAGTAGGTTAAGACCTACAACATATCAAAACGCCAGCCGATTTAACCGGGCCCACTTTTCCCATAAGACCGGTCCGTCGTCCTTTCCAAAATGGCCGCCGGTTAAAGTTCAAAATGACCAAAAATTGATTTTTTCATAAATCTAAGTTCAAATTTGTTTATCTCATGCCAAAATACTCTCAAATTCCAAGTTTGAGGAAAATCCATCAGGAAAAAACCGAGGTGAAAATTTTCGGCCATTTTAAACTTTAACCGGCGGCCATTTCAAAAATTTTGATTGTTTTGAAAATCTAACGTCAAATTCGTTTTACTCGTGTCAAAATACCCCTACACACCGATTTTCGCGCAAATCCATCGACAAATAACCGGTGTGAATTTTCAGCCGTTTTGAACTTTAACCGGCCGCCATTTTGAAACGGATTGAGATATTGACTTCGGGTTTGCGCGAAAAGTTTTCTTTTTTTATGCTCTTTCGAACGAACTATCACAAAGGGGGTCTTCCTATTTGAAAATTAAAAGTTGGGGGCCCCCCCCTGAAAATTTTAGGGGGGCCAAAAAGTAGCTCCCTTAGACCTAGGAATATCCCCCAAGTTTCAAATCTTTACCTCAATTAGGTAAAAAGTTAGAGGGGGTGGAAGGGAATTTTGGATCACCCTGTATGGAGTGATAAGCATTTTCGTGTTTGCTACATCTTCATCTCTCCATTCCTATTATCCAGTGTTCAAAACTCACAGGCGCCAACGCGCCAAATGCGCCTAAGAAATCGGTCATGGCGCCTATAAATAAAAGGCTCTGCGCTATCGTGACCCCTAAAAATTGCCCTCCCCCCAGAAAAAAATCCTAATTTTTCTGTTGGTAATTTTTCGAAATTTCTCCCAAGTTCAGCTACTTGTTCTGTTACTAAAACATCTTGCGTTTAACTTTTTATTGAGTGCGCCGTGATTTTTAGGCAAAACGTCAATTTGGCCCCTAAAAAATCTTCAATGGCCCGTAACAATCGAGCTTGATGAGCCACATGGCTCTTGAAACTCCAAGATGAGTTTCGAACACTACTCATAGCACTGTTTATAATTGTTGAAGTTTACTATCTGACTAAAAACACCATACACGAATCTGAGCCAATATAACCTCGACAAATAAACTACCTTGTGTCGTTTTTTTTCGGACCTCAGACAATGCATCCAGCACAACCAATATGGGTTAGGGGACAGGAAAGAAGTTCAGGAAGATGATAAAATTCTAAAGCGACTTTCCCCTAAATCAGAAAAGACATACCTGCGATGGGATGTGTAAGGAAACGGTACTTCATAATCGCATTCTCCCTACTTCAATGTTATCTCTCTACTTCTTGTTTTTTCTCCTCTTTACTCTATCAACACAATTTTATCCTGTTCTTGTTTCTTACATCGAATGATGAGAGAAGCAAACTTTTTTCCGCATCCTTTGCAGATTGCAAAAGAAAGTATTCTACGGATGTTAAAGCCACATTTTGTGTTTTTTAGGAAGTTCAGAGCTTTCCAAAATTTTCCATTCCTGGAACCGAAACTATTATTTTTGGTCAAAACTATACTAATAGAAGTCGACTACCTTCGTTCCATACGATGCCACCAATATTTCTCCGAAATTTAAAAAATAATCAATTTTTTCCGAAACAGCGCTTTCGGTCAAGTTTCCGAATTTTTAAAAATACTTCCGCGGCCTGTACGCTTAAATGAGTAATTTTTATAAAAAGTAGTCTAATAGAAGTAAACTACCCTAACTTTTTATGATGATAGCTGTGTGGTTGGCAGCCCTTGTCATCTGTCATGGCGCCAGCCACCGCTTTCTCCTGATTGGCTATGATCATTAATCAGGATTATCCATTTAGCCCTGGGCCACGCCGGCCGCCCGTTTGTGCATTTTTCCGTCTTTTGTATTTCCAACAATATACTCATATTTCCATCATATTCGTGTAGTTGTTTGTGCCACCACCTCCACATCACAATAGCAATATTCCTTCAAACTTTTAAAAATTAGTTACTCGCTGATTTGTATCCCATTTGTGCCTGAAGAGCGCTTTCGGTCAAGTTTCCGAATTTTAAAAAAATACTTGCGCTTCTCGCAGGCGCAAATGTTTAATTTATATCAAAAGTAGTCTACTAGGAGGCTGCAATCTCAAATTTTTAGAGGTCTATCCTAACTGCTTCATCTCTAAAAAAATCATCAAATCGATGAAATTCGTCTACCTTCGTAACCGTACATTTCAAAAATATGCGATGCAGCAGCACTTAAACTTCACCTAGAAGTCTGAAACTTGGGCAAAGCAGTTTTTTTAACTAAATGGAACATTCACTTGTCGAGAAAGCGCAACTTTTTGAGGGTAGACTGTCTTTTGGGACACCCTATTGTTCAAGCTCTTAAATCAAGTTTATTCTGCCCCTATGTTATCGCAGAGCGGTGGCCGAGTGGCATGGTGCATTCTCATCCGGTTTTGGAGACAAAGTTTCTAAATAACTTCTTATCAGTCAGCTCTAATTACTCACCGGAGAGTTAAGATAACTCATAAGAATATTGAACATCATGTAGGTGCCTAATCATGATCATACTAGCTGTCAGTCAAATTTTAACTTCGTTGGAAACTAATCGAAGCATTCCCTTCACTTCCTCAGGCAGAAAAGTGGTTCCTATGAAATGAAAGAAGTAGATTAAAAATCTTACTAAAGTTATGACCTGAATCCACTTTCATTGAGAAAATGAAGCCACACATTTTTCTTACCCTTTCTCTTCAATTTTTCCATTTTATTTTCTTGGATTTTTCTTGGAACGTCATTTTAGCATGAGGGCTCTTTTTGCATATGCTGCTTCAATTCATGTTTCCATTTGTTTCCCCCTCTTTGTTAACAGTTTTCTCAGCAGTATGCCTTACTGGTATTATGAAAAAAAGGAGCTAAAAGATACTCCTTCGTTCCATGATGGCATTGACTTTGAAACAGAAAGTCGGTATAGGAAAGAAGGAGCCAGGTTCATCATCGACACAGGAACAAAAATGGACTTAGGATATAATACGATGGCTACTGGCGTCGTGTACTTTCATCGTTTTTATATGTATCATTCCTTCAAAACATTTCCAAGATATGTAAGTACCTAGCTTCCTTCCCTCCTTTTGCGCTTTGAAATCAAGATTATTTTTTTCTTCTCTTTAGTTGTTTAGCATCATAATTTTTCTGAAAGTCCGATTTCATAATCATGAATTTAAATGTAACATTTCATCACAGGAAAAATCTTTATTGCCTCTTTTTGAGCTTTATGAATCATCAGTGAATTAAAAGCTGCCCATCAAATCATTGTTACCTGAAAAAAAAAAGCAAATGAAAACTGCGAGTCATGGGTTCGGTAAAGGGTTATTCAGCGGATAGTTTTGAGGTATACATAGGTATGGACTATATGTATGAAGAATGGAAATTCAAAATCTCTCAAGCGCCATCAAATGTTGCGAAGATTGTGCATGGGGTCTCTTTACTGTAAAAGAACCTCTGCTTTGACGACATTTTATTGAGAAATTTGCTCCAAATTTTGGTCTTATTTTCATGACAAGAATTGTTATTCTCAGGCAATCAGACTTCTTTTTTTTTCAGAGGAACAATTGCACAATTTTTAAAACACCTGCTGGCATTTAAGGGTTTTGAATTTCCTCTCCTGAGGTAATGAATTTATTGTTTGGTGTCTTAACTTCATTGTGTTTACTATGGTATTTTGAGTTACCTATTCTAATGTTTTCATTGGCAGTTTAAATACTTAATGAAATAAGAGCGCACTCAAGTAATAATGGCATAAATGAGAACTTCCTCGATAAAGACCGCATGAGGCTTGCAAATGCAATGTTGCAAAGATTGTGCAATTTTTCTTAACATTCACAGTCAACTTACTTCGACATAATAATGTTAAAAATTCGAAGCAGCTCAGAGAAGAATTCATGGCAAACCATTCGAATGCTTTACATGTAATGAAAGAACTATGTTACACTATTTTAGCAGCATTGAAACTGTCATACATCCCCCCACAGAAGAAGTCTTCAAGTATAGACGCATTTAGTGTGACGTCACATCTTGATTTAATTTCAATATCTCGAAAGTCGAAATGTGCCCCAACAAACGAACTCAACGTTCGTCCGAAGACTAAGTACTATGTCACGAGCTTATTATATTATCAATCCGTGTGTATGTGGTCTCAAACGTTTTAGAAAATAACTAGCTTTCATAATTTTATGGTCTCATGGATTAATGTTTCAGTTTTGGGCTAGTTTTAGCATTCTTTCATCAATTGTTCATTTTGAAGGTTATGTTTGTTTGTTGGGGCACATTTCGACTTTCGAGATATCGAACCAACAATATCGCTCCGTGACGTCACCACTAAATGCGTCTACTGGTGATGCGTCACAATATAGGAATGAAGTCTTTGATGGGCATTATTAGAAATCAGCCTTCCATATCTTTCTGTTAGTAAAGAAATGGAGAGGGTCGTTACTCTGCTCTTGTGATGCTACAGTTTTGGACCGTAAGACTCAAAAGTCAAGTTCTAGTAAGGGTCATATATATATATTCTGATGATCCTAGATTTCTTAGGAATAATCTTAAAATTATTAGAAATAAGAACTATTCGAATACTGAACTGGGAGGCCTAGCTTGAGAAGTTTCAAAGAAAAAAATGTGTTGGAAGGACTAGGGCTAATAATGTGAATGATTTTTAGGTTACAGCATGTTGCTGTTTATTTCTAGCTGGTAAAGTTGAAGAAACTCCCAAGAAGTGCAAAGACATCATTAAAATAGCTAGCGAGCTGCTTAGTAAAAACAAATTTCAGACATTTGGTGATGATCCTAAAGTAAGTGTCCTTCTTTCAGTTTAATTTATTGAATACTTAATTTTTGATCAGACAAAACTGGAGGATGGTTAGTGTAGTGGAATAGGGTCATTTTAAAACACAGTTTCATAGCTATTTCCAGAAATTACCCGGTGGAAATATCAGTTTAATTTGTCTTATTGTGTAAGTCCCATTATGAATGTTGCTGGTAAGAATGTCCACTTAAATATGCCTGATACTCAATATTTATGGTGTGAGAAGATGCTCTTGTTAGGAGATGTTATCAAAGTCCAAACACCCCTTCATATTAAATCTGTATCAATCTTATATTATTCTATTTTCAACCTGCAATTGTTCCATTATATACAGGGTGATCTTGACCACTCAGGGCCGCATTGGTGGAAGAAGGCTCATATGGTGTGCACATCTATTGGGCCGAGACCCAACTTTTGTGTGTAAAGAATTGGGAATGTTATGAATTATTGGAGAAAATTCCAAAAGCAAAATTGGCAATGTCATGATATTTTGTTCCTAACAACTCCTGACAACCCAGGAATTTTTCGCATTTTGGTCAAAGAAATCGTAGTATGATCATAATTTTTTTTGACACTATGACAATTTTTAGACAATTTGTGGGTAAGTAAATAACCAGAATATCATTATAATTCGAATATTTGTGGAAGATATTTTGCCGCTTTGTCTTTATGAGAATTTAAAAATTCGAATTAAGCATTTTTTAAAAAATATTTTTAGGAAGAAGTAATGACACTCGAAAGAATTCTTCTCCAAACGATTAAATTTGACCTCCAAATAGAACATCCATACAGTTTTTTGTTGAAGTATGCCAAGTGTTTAAAAGGTAAGGATGTAACCATTACATATTTGTATATATTCTATGTATCATTTGCTGTAAGGGTAACTCTGTTACAATATCAGAGGACAAGATGTCCTAGGTCTGAAGGTAGTCAGCATGATTTTCTTAAGGAAATAATACAAAACCTGAGGCGTGAGATTTTGCTGAAAAACAGAAAAAAAAGAATATCACATTTTCTTTTCACATTTTAATTTTGGGAAGAAGAGAAAAAAAGGTAACATTAGTGCTAAAAATGATGTTAAATAAAGGTGAGTTTCTGTTTATAGGGATTATTTTTGTTGCAGACATTACGTTTCATGCCTTAAACTGCTATAAGTTGGTCTGCTCAGCCCAAAAAATTCAAAAGTTTTCAAAGACTGAGTAATGTACCTGACTCTCTATCATGCTGTAATTTCCCTCCTAAAATTATTGTATACAAAGCAAGATACAGATCTAAGAAGGCCGTTGTGTATGTTACAAAAGAGACCTCCCATTTTTGAGGACCATCCATACTTTGACTTTAATTTTTGTAGAGACCATTTACTTCACCTATATTCTGGTTGGCCCTGGTAACGTCTCATTGAATCTACTTTTTGATCAAGTATCCATTTCATACATAGTTCAAATGATTTTGTTGAGATTTTGCCATTTTTATGGTGCTGCTTACTTTACAAGGTTTTGTTGCGGACGTTACGCCCATAGAACTTTGGATCTAAAATAGGCTGTAACTCTCGCAGTTCATGAAGTAATTGAATTGAAAGGTAACTGCATGAAGCGGGAAAGATATATGTCATAATGGTACATAAATTTCACTTTATTATCTGAGATGATGGTAGAGCTGAGTGTCTATCTTTCAAATACAACTTAATAATAAAAGGCACAAATTATTTGTGAAAATGAACAGACTGGTAAAAGAGATGTTACATCTGTCATGGGTATAAAAATGCACCTTTTTAAAAAAAATACAGAGTGTCCCAGACCGCCCGTGTACGGCTATTTTATCAGTTATTTTCGGTCGAACGAAGTGGGGGACAGCGAAAATGATAGGGAAATTTACCCCAAGGAATCCGATAATCATCCTCCTGAAGCCCCCCCCTGACTCCCTTGGCACGTTTTGTGGGTACGGTTCCAACTTCAAAAGTAAGAGTGCTGGTGTCTGTCATAACTCTGAAATTATTCCATCTAACTCAGGTGATACAAACAATTCTAACCTAGACCATCACCAAAAAATCCTAAATTGGCCGAGTGCGCTGCCCAGAGAAGTTCCTGCGAGTTTTTTCCTGAACACGAAAATGTTTCATATTAACATGTTGAAAAAATCACGATAAAGTTATTTTCGGGGGCATTGACAGATAGCAGCAATGTGCAGCATTACCGATATAAATTAAGTTGCATTTAAATGCGCATCACCAGGACGAATTTATCAAATATTTAAGAAAACACCCAGAAACGTTTTACCGAAATTAAATTTAAAATTGAACACACTTTATTGTAAAAATAAAGTGAAACATAATAGGGCTGCTACAGTGTACCTGAATTTATAATAGGAGCCTATCAAACAAGTTGAATGTGAGATTTCTTCTTGCTAGAGCCAGGCCATGTCCTCTATATTGCAGACGTTACACTTTTTCGACGGTGTAAAGCATGAAAACTGAAGTAGCTAATTACGTTTTGATACTGCTGGAGTATCAATGAAGAACATGTCCTATCATTTACGAAGCATGAACTTCTAAACTGGCTCCTGCTTTAAATGGCATCAAGTTTAGTAGATTTTCTGTTACGGATGTTACATTTTCACATGCCTTCACAAAATGAGGAAAAATATTGCATATATTTGAAGTTTTCTGCTCTTTTAACTCCATGTGGTTGTATATCTTAAAGATGCAATATGTAGTAAATAAAAATTACTCCAAACATAACCTTGAAAATGACTGGTTTGAACATGCCTTCAGAAAAACTGGAAAATCTTGCGAATCGAGGAACTTGAAATGAAAAGTGAACTTATTTCATAAAATTGAAGAGTTTCCCTATTCGGTAAACAAAGTATGTGCACAAGTAAAGTTGATTTTGTAACCTCAAAGGTCTCGTTTAGAAGTAATTCCCATTATTAGGAAGAGTTTTGCAATTTAAGCAGCTTTTCTCTCCCTGTTTATCGTCAAGGGACAAAAACCTCTTGAAGCGTCCCAGTTCTTCTCTTCTATTCAGCAGGCTTCTTTCCAGTTTTAAAAGAGCAAATTTTAGTTTCTAGGTCATTAAGAGCTACTTTTTTGCGTCTGCAAACATTTGAGCCCCCTCCCCCCTCATACATAGATCCTATCTAAAAATTATCTAACGGCACTCCCTCTTCTTTTGAAATGCCGTGCAAAAGAAAGTAAAAAAGAAAACTTTTAATATAAACCAAAGGTCTTTTTGACTTTCTGTTTCGAAGATATTCATGGCCAAAGTTTCCTATGAACCTATTTTCAAATTCACAGGTGGGTCATTTCACGGCAACTGTGCCAGGCTCGGAACCCGACCCTCTCAGATTTGGCTGAAAATTGGTATACGGGGTCTTTACATCATTCTAAGGGACCAATTTGAAGGGTTTTCCCACCCGACGCACGGTGGATCGAGTCAATGGGAGGGGTCGGTCATCGCGCATCACGCGTCTTATTTTCTCTGATTACGGAGATTTTCCACCCTTCGAATAGAGCAAATTACACTCATCTTTAGTATTTTTCGTCGTAGATTCCATTTTTGATCATTTTTCAGCCGAATAACGAGTTTTAATACGAGTTTGACACACTTTTTCATGACTATTGAAATTGGGATCCTTGATAGCTGTCTTTTCACGTTACTTTCGGCGAATGGGACCGTAAGCATCTTACATAAAGAATAATTTTGCAGAACTTGACTCAAGGACATTACTTGAGGAGTGAGGGAGGGCGGCTTTACAGCCCCCTCACCACGAAGGTTGCCATATTTCTTTCAATTTCTGATGACATCGATTTTTGTTCATGTTAATTGGTTTCTCACAATTGCATACTGACACATATACGGAACATTCTGATAATGTTCATTTTTCTTCTCTTTTCCTCCAGCCAGTCAATAGACGTTTTCATTTTTATGAACTCTCTACTCTTTCAGTTATTCAACAAATATGCATATTTCAAAAAATAGATCAATATATTAAAGAAATAAAAAAGAGATGTATATACTGTAGCTTCTTTTTATCGAGTCATCCTAGGAGATTATTATAGGTACTTATCACCAGATAAAAAAAATTGAATGTGCAGAGAGAAAAAAAAATTATATCATCTTCCATTATTTCGTTTTGTTCCTCGATGTTTGGAGTGAAGTTTGAAACATATTTATTGAATAAATATTAAAATAGGAGGAAATTTATTTTTCATGCAAGTTCTGATCCCTTGAAGAACCTCTGAGAAGGACTATTGTCTCTTGAAGAAATTTCTTGTATTTCTTCTTTTTCAACCCACAACCAATTTTTACTTTCTCGCTACTCTAGGGTAGAGAAAGGATTGTCATCCTCCAAGGGAGGGAAAAAAAGTTGAAATTTTATTTGTATGGAGCTCATGAAAGAGTTCTAGGTATGTTGAATACATTTTGCAAGAAACGAGACGTGTGAAATATACAATGCGCAAAACATACACCTTAAACTTTATAGCACAGTATAACGCTGATCGAATCAGCTTCAAAGACTAACAGAAGTTTAATGTCTCGTCCAAAAATATCAACAAATAAGCCAAAATCAGTAATCAGTAGACAAATTATCGAGATTGAAGGATATCGTGTGATGCAAGATTTTATTGATGACAATTAGAGCAAGATCGGATTCCCAGCAGTCGCGACTTCCTATCATTCAAATGGACCGTTTTCGCAGATTAGCGGATATTAGCGGCTAATTATCACATAATATCATTCCTGATAGTGTACAGGAATCAACCCAACAAAGGATTTTGTGGACACTTGTGGACATTTTTTAATCGAGCTATCTTAACATTTTTTTGAGCGTTTTTTTAATGCAAGTTTTGGAGGTGGTTTTGATCCTCCTAAAAATATGCAAATGCACATTAATGATACACCAAAATATTCCTTAAAGAGAGGAGAATAAACATGTTTAATTGAATTTTTGATTTATCTGCCACAGAACTCATGCAAAAGCGCAATTAAACCTTGAGAATCAGACGGCAAATTTGATACCACCTGCAATGTCAGCTTTAGGCAACCCGCATGTCAAAGCGGAAGGGTTCAAAGACCCTTTAACCATGGATACATTCATTTTGGAAGCTTAACTACCAGAAAACCAAGAAAAAACATTTAAAATCCGACTTTTTTTTTCGTCGCCCATGACCGACCTCTACCATTGACTCGATCCACCGTGCGCCATTTTCAATTTGAACTACTTTGAGGGGTGTTCCGAGGTCGGGCCATTTTTAACTTTTAAGAAGTTGTTCAGGGGGACCTACTGATGACGCTGAAGTTTGTTACACAGTTTTTCCCGGTCAAACCGCACTTCTCCCTTACTATTATAGCACTATCCTGCTTCTCGAGCCGTACACTTTTTGGAGGATTGTGCGAAATAGTTGGAACTTTTTTTTGAAACTGAGGAAGTTCTGATGACATTTGCATCCTCAACACTTGCCTACAGTTCATTTATACCCTCTTTCGACTTATTTTCGTGAGAAATTAGTCTTTTAAACCGCTACTTTGTAAGACCTCGGAAATTCTGAGGACCAAGAAAATAAAAACCGAGTCGAGTTTTTCTAGTTCAATTTGATTTTTATCGTTTACGAAGACGCCTCCCTAGAGTAAAATTTCATCCCCTACAACTTGAGTTCTTTGGCATTTTTCTCGTAAACGCACGATTTCACCGTAAAATCGAGTCTTTTGTATGAAATCGAGGTCTAAACCAAAATATCATAATTTCATCACGAAATTGACCTTTGGCACCATTTAAAATGGTTGAAATTTACCCAAATTTTGGCAAACATGCTTTTTTACCAAACGTCATCGGTTGCCGCCTGGGGAGCGGAACATTTCAGACTTTTATTTTTTTTGACGCACCCTAGTGTGCCATGCACCGATCTTTGCAGTAATTGCCATCTTTTGGAGTGTGCGAATATGCCAGCGACAAGAGATGTCTCTTTAATCAGCGATTCAGACTCTGACTAAATACATTGTTCATTATAATCAGGTGTGTTACCTTTTCGTAAATTGTGCAGTTCTTACAAAATTAAATTTTACCATTTTGGTAAGCACATAAAGCTGAGTTTCCGCTCCTTAGTTTAAAATTAAAATAAATAATAATATGAGCAAAAATGTCTGATTATGTGTTTTAAAAATTCATAGAGCAGCCTACTCTCTCTTTTCTATGTACGCTGTCACTATGTAAGAAATAGCTTTGCTTGAAAATGAATGATAATTACAAACATGACTAAAAAATGACAATTTAGAGAAAGTTTATAAAACAATTAGAAGTGACAGTATATTTCCCATCCTTCGAGTGATGGACTTTTTTTGTTATCATTGTAGCTCATCAGATAAGTCTTACATTCCTGCCAATGTCAAATGAGCCACCATTATTAATTCGCAAAAGCTGTAAGAGCTCACTCATTCTAGACGTAAAATGTTCAATTTAATATTATTTCTTTCATTTCGGGTGTAAAATTAAATGTTCAATTGCGAGACGCACATAACAACCGACAAGGGGTCATTCACAGAAGATAGCTGAAATCATGAGCTCATTTCAACCTCGTGTTACACAGCAACGAAACATCGCACAATATTGTGTGAGCACTCGTTATTTAACGTAAATTGTATTTTTTTTCAAAAAGGTTTTAGCTTTTCCTGAGATAACTTAATATTTTTGGTGAAAAATTATGATAACTGCTGAAAAACACGATTTTTCGTAAAATTGTCGAAATTTTATGCTCTCTTCTGTTCCCTGTAACTAGAGAACGAATTATTGCTGATTGTTGTACGACCACTCATTTTAAAGCAAATTTAATGCACTTTTAAAAAAGTTGTATGCACTTTTTGCAGAAACCCGATGCATAATATCTAAAAAAAAAAGCGCAAATTTTTTAGTGCATTTTAACGTTTTAGGGCCTTTTCCTCCCTTCCGGTCATCGGATCGTGTCGAAATTTCAGTATGTTGTCTAGGTAGTATAACTAGAGAGATTCCCACAAAAAAACCTTTTGTTGCAATTTATTCCGGGTTGACCCCCTTTTTTCGCTATTTTGCCCTGACTATCCCCCTGGAGAGCATTCTATCAGAGGGACCTTCAAGAGGATAAAACTTTGTAGGAGTTGATCCCCTCTTAAACGCTGAAGCACTTAACTTCGTATGATCTGAAGTGAACCTGAAAAAATGTATGCCCTGATAGTTTAACATTCTGTATACTTTCTTGGTCGTTAATGCTCATAAGTTCTTTTTTATTTTATTTTCATAAGTTCTGTTTTTATTTTTATATTCTAGTTCATTACATCTAATTGTATCCTTTTGACAGGAGACAAGGCGAAATTAGAAAAAATGTTGCAAATGGCGTGGACTTTTGTAAATGATAGGTAATAATGTCTTATTTGTGCATATTCATTGAAAAATTCGAAAAGTAAATAAATAAATAAATAAAAACCCTTTCTTACAATCTAGTCGGGGTTTTAAAAAAACTAGAACTTTACGAAAACGTAAGATGGGGGATTTTGCAAGTAGGTTATGCTCTCATCTACTTCCAGCAGTGCCATTTAAGAGAGCAAGAACAACTTACAAGAACCCTTTTCCCTAATTTGAATCTTTAGAAGCAGAAATTTTGTCATAAGTTTAGCAAAAGTTAGCTTAGTCGAAAAGAAAATCTAAGTGGAAGTTTTGTTCAAGGAGCACGAAAAAGTTAGGGAATTTGGACGTTTTTACCGATTGATAATATGCCCGTACATCTAGTAGATGTAAAAGAAATGAGGCTTCATAGTGCATAAATTTGAAGTGGAAGTACGAACAATTTTCTGAGACTTCGAATTTGAAAAGATGCCACAAAGAGCAAGAGGTTTAACATGCGCACTTTTTGCATTTATTCTTGTAACTTTTTAAATGCTCCGTGATTTTTTTACCAATAAATTGCAATCGTTACGGAGATGTCTGAAAAAGGGAGACCAGAAAAACCACTTTTGTGAAAAGTGACACATTAATGATAATAGTAAAAAAAAAAGAAGCAACACCAATAAATTCAATTAACGGAACCGGACGGGAGAGATAAGGAAAGCATCGAGAGAACCATGGGAAAAATAAAGTTGCGAAATTGGGATTCGAACCCGGAACTTGGGGAGTGGGAGCCATTGTCCCTGTCCACTACACTACACCAGATTATGTTGAATCTGTTGTTGTTAATCGGTGAACAAATGTATGATACGAGCACGGCGAGTCGCAAAGTCATTAACGTCGTTGTGCACCCCAAAAAGGTGAAACAACTGGGATCAGTTTTACCCTTTACCTGGGGGCGCTTCCCAGATGACATGTCCAAAAATTTCTTATGTCCAATTATTGACAAGTCCAACCAACTGATGTCCGAAAAACTAAGTTGTCCGCATATAAAAAAGTTTATTTATGGAAGTCCGAAACTATGGAATGTCAAACAAAGGTACCATACAATGTCCAATACCGAGGAAGTGGCGTCTGTACTCGATTCTGTGAAATTAAAAATGCTGTTTTTTCTCACCCCCCCCCCCCCCCAACAGAAGGGCCCATGTTAATTTCTGTCTCAAACTAACATAACATAAGTCATTGATGGATATTATGTACAGTTAATGTTCAAAATTATTTCACATTACGACTTTGCATCGAATGATTTGGTTACTATGACTTCAAATGTTTCAATATTTCTAACCTCATGCACCATTCAAAATGAATGCATGCTTTGCATGATGAATGCTACTACCCTCACTGACAATTACACAATTACAATTAATCGTTGAAACCAAAATTAGTCCGTTGTTTCAGTAATAATGTCAAGTAATAATAATTCAGTAATGGTAAATATTTTGGCCTTTTGAAATGGGCCTGTTGCAAACTTTTGCTAGAGCAAAACTAAGAGTTGTTTCCTACAGATAATGCCTCAAAAATCACGATGAGCGCATCGGCAAAGTCTGAAATGCACTCATAACTTCACAATCTGCGTAAGAAATTTGCGGTTTTTTGAGCTTCCCGCTTCGAAAACGATACTACGGTACAGGTGAACATTTTGTTAGAGGAGTCGTTCCATTGGCGACAATACTCATCATGGCCGACGCCAGTCCGCCAAAACACGTGTGATGGGACGAGATAACACCTGAACAGGATTAAACCACATAACAATCGGCGTGTTTACGTTCATATTTTCCTCGCCCGCCTTAATTGACCTTGAACTCTCCTCGAATTACGCGAGGAACTGCGCAAGCGTCGGCCATGATGAATATTGCCGACGATGGAGCGACTCCTCTAACAAAATGTTCACCTGTGCAGTAGTATCGTTTTTGAAGCGGGAAGCTCAAAATAACGCAAATTTCTTACGCAGATTGTGAAGTTATGAGTGCATTTCAGACTTTGCCGATGCGCTCATCGTGATTTTTGAGGCATTATCTATAGGAAACAACTCTTCATTCTGCTCTAGCAAAAGTTTGCAACAGGCCCATTGGACTTAATGCATTTGCGCGCATGCATTTCACTAATGGACTTATCATGTATACTTGGACCTTCAAAATCTGGACATTATGATTTGAACGTTCCGCCTTTGGACATTAAAATTTTGAACCCAACATCCGTGAATCCTGGGGGCATTGGCAAAAACGCTGAAAGACGTGTCTTATAGATTTTTATGAACTACAATTGGGCCCAACGCAGATGGATTTGGAGGAGGTATGAGCGTAAGGTCCCCTTGTGAGTAAGATTTGCGGATATGAGGTACTAATTTCGAACAAAAACGTATCAAAATTCTCGTAATATAACTATTTTTTTGGACCATGGCGAAGTGATCCAATTTTAAAATGTAACCAAGACTGTCATATCACTTTGAATGTGCTTTGCCCATAATCGTCACATAAGCTACTGGCTTCTATGCTTGCAATATTAATAGCAATTTCTTGGAAATTCGACTAGAAGTAGGTATATGAGAAAAATGTTTCTACCTCACCACTTCAAATAATATCCTCTCAGGCATTTCAAAAGAGTTCAGAACATGCAATATGCTAAAATCACGAGAGTAAGTTTAAATCTTTCCTTGTACTGTGAATGGATTCCTGCTTTCGTTTTCACACTTGCCTAAGCACAGGCTCCGTTTTTATTTCTTTGACTAGCATACACCAAACAACAACTTGATGTATGTCAAATATCATGGTTTCCAGTTTCATCAGCAGCTCAACTAGAAGATCAAATTTGAGGAAATCCATTAAAAAATATGAAGTCAATGCAAAAGATATCTTGAAATATTTTTCTTCAATAGGTTCTTTCATGTACTCTATTGTAGAGCTCACTCACATCAAATAAGTTAATGCATTTGCAGACTGCATCAGGAGATTGCGTGACGTTAGTTTAGCATTGAAAGTAAATGTAATAATGAAGCTATCATGGTATAAAAGTGTTCGACCTTATTTAGCAGGGACTCAAGTAATAAAATATTTGTTTTCATTGCTGTACCCCGTATCATACTTATTGCCAGATGCTGGTTTGTATAGTTTTGAGCCACTAGTAAAATTTTTTTTTTTTTCAGTTTATGCACAACTTTGTCTCTGCAATGGGAGCCAGAAGTTATTGCTGTTGCTTTAATGTACCTAGCAGGGAAATTAAGCAAATTCGAAGTGGTTGATTGGGCAGGACGACAACCGAATCACCTTCGTTGGTGGGATATGTTCGTTGAGGGAGTCACAATGGACCTTTTGGAGGGTAAAAATTCTTCCGATTCTATGCATGCAGCTCAAATTTGTGAGATCGCTCCATCAAATGAGTGTTTCTTAAGCTTTCTTAAATTTCAAAATGCAGTCACCACTCAATCTCTTAAAGTGAGAAAACAAGAAGGCTCTCTGGGTACCTTCATTTCTTCATCATTTTTTACGAAGTATTCAATCAAATCTTTTACTGTTTATGAAAAATGGTAATTTTAGTAAATAAAATATTTTCACTCCAAGTTGATTTTTTGAAGGTGAAAGGATTTTCAACTGAAATGTTTACAATTTGTTCCCTAGATATTTGCCACCAAGTCTTAGATTTGTATTCACAACCTCAGCAACCGAATTCTCCTGATTCTCCACCAATGTCTCTGACGTCCAGTACTAAAAGAGAGCTCAAATCCGTTCCAATCGTAGCTCAACCCATAGCTCGTTTATCTCCGGTAAAGCCTATCCAACCAATAGGTAAGTTTTTGGTCATGGTGCACTTTTGGATTAAAGTGGACTTCTCAACATTCTGCAAAGTTTACAAAATTGAACGTAAAAACACCAATATTACATTGCTAATACCAAATAATGGATTTCATTGTTTTGGTATATTGTAATTTTGTATTCCGTTGGCCTCTTTCTGTGTAGTGGTCATAGCGCCGCACTATGGCCCCAATAGCTCGATTTAAGCGGCAACAAATCGAAATAATGAAGTTTGGAAAAAGTTCGATTTCAAGACGTAGATCGATAGCGCAGACTGTAGAGAAGACTCCTGTGTTATATCAACTCGATTGAAGCACTAATAAAGATGTGACTAGCTTGGGAAGTGCGGCGTGCGGAGCACTTTCGAGTACGATTCCAGTTACCGAGCGGCAGTGCTGGGGTTAAGGGCTTGTTTTCGTTGTTTCACCACACCTGAAAGTGTTTGGGCACTTGATTCACAAAATATAAGGTAAAAAGATGTTTCATGCTGAAACTATTCTTTTTTATCATATCTAATGCTCTAGATTAACCCTTAGACATAGTCAGTTTTTCAATAAAATCGCAAAAGTAGGATCCTAAAAGTATAATTTGCACCTCTGAGCACCTTGTAATTTTACTCGGAGGTTATTGTCATGACTCTAGACTACCTTTTAGTCTGAGTGGCAGATCAATCATCCACAATCACCTCAAGTTATTTCTCGTGAAAAATGACGTTTTCGCGTTTCTTAGCACTTACTACAATTATCTATCATATTCCATTGACCATGACTTTTATCATGTTCCATTCTCATATTCTATCAAATCATGACTCTAGATTACCTTTTAGTCTGAGTGGCAGATCAATCATCCACAATCGCCTCAAGTTATTTCTCGTGAAAAATGACGTTTTCGCGTTTCTTAGCACTTACTACAATTATCTATCATATTCCATTGACCATGACTTTTATCATGTTCCATTCTCATATTCTATCAAATCAAATGCATTAGAGCCTAAATATGTCCAGGCAGAATAATACGAGTTGATGGGGCTGATCGGGAGGAATTGAAACTTGTGCTCAGGAACAGCGAAGAATCGCCTCGGGAGGCTACTTTGAGGCCCCGTAAACGTTTTTTTTTTGACGTTTTACCATGTTTCAAGCATATCATCTATCAAAATGGATATATTTTAGCATAAGTTAAGCTTGGCAGACGAAAACGAGTTTAAACGGTTGATCGGTGGGACTTGAAAGTAAGTTCCCCGAGTGATGAAATCGTCTTGGGAAGCCACTTCGAGGTCCTGTTAAAGTTTTCTTTTGACGTTTACCCATGTTTCAAAAACATAATCAATCAAAATGGATATATTTAAGCTTAAGTTTAGTTGGCAGACGAAAACAAGTTCAAACTGCCGATCGGTGGGACTTAAAAGTAAGCCTCTGGAGCCATGAAACGTCGAAGTATTATCCTGAGCTGTCTTTTTCAAGTTCCCTTGACAGTAGTGTTTGAAGAAGTTCTACTATTAGCTCCTTATAGTCCATCCAATGCAAAATTTAATTTTTAAGTTTAAAAAAAAAATCTCCCGAGAATCGAACCCGAGACCTATGGTAGACGGGTGAGATGTGATGTGCACTACACCACCGCGTTGCCGGGGTGAGTGTGACTCAATTTGTGGTTTCTATACAAAATGTTACCACAGTTATTTAAAAGTATAAAAATGTTAAAATGGATTTTTTCTGAAAAAATATTTGCATATTCGCACTCAGCGACCCAAAAAACCCCTAAAAATTCATGTTGCGAGGTTTTCAACATACATATTTGATTTAATGCCGCTTAAACCGGGCTATCGGGGCCATAGTGCGCCGGCTCTCCGATCACGAGGTCCTAGGTTTAATTCCTGGCAGAGCAACCTGATTTCGATGGTCTCAAATAGTGGTTGCCTGGGGCTTGTTAATTTATAGGGACTGCAGGAGGATGGAGCCATAGTTGAAGGCCTAGAATTACCCTCCAGGGGATGTTTGAAGTGTGCAAAAAATCGGGGAGAGGGGACAAGGAATCATTCGGAAATGCACTGAGTTGACTAAACGTTCAAGGACAAATTTGTTCTTTGAGTGTTCTCTTTTAGTGCCAGAAGGACCACAGTGATAGAACCTTAATTTTCTCATTTCAAAGACTATGGAGATGGGCAGCATGCATTCTGTGGTTTTGGTTAAAAAAAATGGGATTTTCGGGGCTTGGGCAGGCTTCCTAAGAGCTCTTAAGCAAAAATGCTAAAACATATTCTCAAACTTTTACATAAGGTTTCATTCAAATTGATGATCATTAAATTAAAGAGGTGGCCACAGTAACCTTCTCTCGTAAGTCAGTTTTTTTAAAAATTGTTCACTGGCTCTTTCATTCAAGATTGGAAATGGACGTATGGACCAAATAATCTTACAGTTCTTTTCTTTGTTATTTTCCAGTGACAGGGGCCAAGCTAAAGACTGATTTGAAATCACAAACAGATGGTCCTGGCCTTCCGCCAACTTCAGTGGACGTAGTGCCCAGCCAGTACAGTTACCCTCCCGGAGTGACTTCATACACTAACAGCTCATTTTCTGCTCAACCTTTTCCACAAAATGTACCTCTCCAGTCAACCTCTAACTCCTCTAGTTATCCTCCTTCCTACCCACCCTCATATCCTCCTGCTCAAGCAAACTCACAATACCTACCTCCCTCTAAATCTCACCACCCACAACCACAACAACCTCCTTCTTCTCAATTTTATCCTGCCTCTCAGTCATCTTTCTCCTCGAGCTACCAACCGCAGTAGGTCCTTGACTCAATCAGACCGAGAAGTTTTATCTATGATTTCAATTTTATATCTTTTCCAATTTGAATAAAAAATTACAAGGAAGTCTCTATAATTGTTTTAACTAAAGTAACTTATCTCCTCTTGAAGCATTTCAATGGCCGGTGCGAATCCACTTACCTGTCATATTTCATTTTTGCTTTGAGAAACCAGTCCTCGAAATTAATTTCTCGAGAATTTTTGTGATTTTTCTTCACTGTTACAAAAATATTCTATATAAACCAGGTGCTCCAGAGCACCCGTTCACTAGGTATCTTTTTCTTGGAAGCCCGAAAGTTGAGCTTCGGGAAGAAATATATCCAGTGAATTAAGCCCAAAGAATTCGATTAAAATATTTTCAGCTGGACAAAACCCCATGGGGGTGGGGTTAAGGGGGTGCTCCCCCGTTTCTCGCATATTTCGTTTAGGAAGAGTACTTTTTGACCTCAGATTCAAATTTTATAGCCAAAAGTAAGAAACGAAAATTTTACGGCTTTGGAGGGCCGTAAGTAGAAAATTTCAATTAGTCAGGGTATATTTTGACTTCAGATTTGGATTCTACGCGAAAGGTTACGTAGAATTAATATGACGTACGGCCAACTTGCTCCAAATTACTTTAGAACCCTAATCCCCCTTAAGAAGTCGTGTATTTTTGGAGGAAAAAAAGGGGCTAAAAAAAATTTGGAGCAAATTGGCCATGCGCCATATAAATTCGACGTAACTTTCCGCGTAGAATCCAAATCTGAAGTCAAAACATACCCTTGGCATTTGAAATTTTCGGGGGGTCGTGGCCCCCGTAATTTTGGATCAACAGGCGTCATGTGGCACATCAGTCAAATAATATTGGCGTCCTCTTCCAGGGGACTTTCAGATTTTGAAAATCGGATTTGCTCAAAGAATGCCCCAAAATGCACAGCATTTCCAAAAAAAGGGGGTTTGGAGGGGGGGAAATGGAATATGTGGTTCTTACTTTTAGCCGTAAAATTTAAATTCGAAGTCAAAACATACCCTTCTTATTTGATATTTGCGAGAAACAGCCGGACACCCCCCTCAATAACCTCCCAAGATGGGGTTTTGGGCGACTGAAAATATTTTCATTGAATTCTTTGGTGTTGTGATTTACCCCTGTGAGTTTTCGTCCCGCAGCTCAATTCTTGAACGTTACCAAGAAAAAGATAATGGACGGTGTTCTGGAACACTTGGTATATTTCACATTACAAAGTTGGCTTGATTTTCTTCGAATAAAATATCGTAGCGGAAATTTTGAAACACTGCGATGGAGATGAGCGGTTTTGCACTTTGGCTATCGATCTGTGGAATAGCAAAATCCCAACAAATCTTAGAAAGAAAACCCAAGAAATCCCATGTCGACCCATCATTCATAACGGAATTACTGACTCACGAGGGGGGGGGGGGAGTGTCTCCCCCCTGAATTCCCCAGAAGCAGTGATCGCGATTTTATCGACGTCGATTTATTGCAACATTATCAGATAGAAAATCACGATAAATTGCGATTTCATCGCATTTAATTGCAATAAAATTGCGATTTCATCGCATTAAATTGCAATAAAATTGCGATTTCATCGCATTAAATTGCAATAAAATCGCGATTTCATCGACGGCAATGTGTCACAATATTATCGGGAGAAAAATTGCGATAAATAGAGTTAAATTTCGATTTTATCGAACGCGATTTTATAGATCAAATTGCAATTTCTCATCAACGCCCACCAACGAATGAATGACGCTTAAGAAAGATGTTTCCATGCCGCCGCCGCCGCCCCCCCAATTAAGATGAAAATGCGCCAACTTCTGAAATCGCCTCTGCATGGTCATAAAAGTAAGGGTATGAGGTGGGGTCGGAAGTGAGGAAAGGAGAAGTGGGGTGACGCAGAGTTTGTTTTGAGGGGTTAAATTGCAATTAGCGGAGGTGTAAGAACGATTCGATACGGGGTTGAACGTGAGGTTTGGATGGTGGGAGGTGCGCCCACACTGAGGAAAAATTTTTGGCGTTTTCACCAAGGTCCTTAGGTAGCTTCACAATCTCACTTCAGACAGACAGGTAAGCTTACCTAAAAACCGGTATTTTTACTGGTTTTTTCAGGTAAGAATATTACTTTAATTGGTAATCAATTCCCGGCAACTTTACCATATTATCTCGGTAATTCTACCACATTCGATAAAAAATATTGGCGTATTTACCAAGGTCCATCGGTAACTTTACCATCTCACTCTTATTGGTAATTTTACCGAAACAGAATGATAAGATTACCAATAGAACCTTATTTTACCAACCGTATTTCAAGGTATGAAATAAAATACAGAGGAGGGAAAGTAAAAAAAAAAAGTCCAATGAAAACTCGGTGTCAGTCTACGCAATGACAGAAGTTGTCAGGTTGCGAAGCGCCGATCCATCTAGGCTTGAATTCGCACTCACTAGCCATATGAAGGCCATAGCCTAGAGGCAATGTGCTGGCCTACCACCGCTGCGACTCGGGTTTGAAACCCTGCGGAGGCTCCGGGGATTTTACGCTCGTCTTCGTCAAAGGACCTGACGGCTGAACCTGACTGAAGCCGCGTGAGTCCGCCGCACAGGTCGTATGGCTCGCGGCGAGATACAGCGCAAACCCCATTTTCTTGGCGATTTTATCGCCGATAAAATCGTAAAAAAATCACAATTTAATTTCAAAACATCCCGATTTTTCCGTTGATAAATGCTATTTGGGAAAATGTTAGTTTATAAAAGTGACGCAGAGGCTTGGGAGAAAGAAGCCGTTAAGTCAAGTAGTTGACCCCAAAGAATCCGCATTTGACACCACTGTAGCTCTTTAATTAAGGTTTCGCTAACAAAGTACTGCAGGGACCCTAAATTTGTAAAAATTAGTTAATGGTCCCCCTTTGCCCCGTCAGCAAGGCCTCGGGGGACTATGACAGATCTTTAAATTCGGATTTCATGGGGTCTGTTACCCATGAGAACATCTTTTTCCCGAGCCTTTATGTCAATTTAACGAACTAGCATTTTTTTGAGGGGGCTTTTTAGGATGACTCATTTTGATACCTACGACTTTCGAATTTCCACTTCAGATGGTTTTTGGTCCAAAATTAAAAACGAGCTCAAAAAATTCAAGATCGGATGACCACTTCCCCTAACATTACCTCCTCCACAATTCTCCCTCCTGTAAAGTGCGTCGGCAAGTCATGATACAGTAAGTTGCCATGGTAACCGAGTAATGTAAACATAGATTTGATATCATGATTTTGCGCCAGGGAAAGATCTCTCCATCAGTTTCATTCATACATGTTAGAATCTACCTACCTAAGCTATGAAATCGAAATCAATTTTTCTTTTACCTGTTCATGTTTTAGTTTTATGTACAATAAGTGTGAGCATGGAAGGAGGATGGATATTATAGAACTTTCATTTGGCATTGAAATGAACACATGAGGACTCGGGAATTCCCCTGTATCAGACATGAAATTTCATTGCCAAGTTGATCTACCTTGTAATGTAAAAGTTCTTGGCTGAACAAAGTGAAAGTGAAATGGCTTCCAACTTGTGGCAAGACAAGGATATAAGATTTGATGTACCTAATGCGTAAGTCAATTTTACCTTTTAATTGGGCCGTCATTAAGTCGCTTTCTTGTGCCACCACAAAACTTTCAGGGTATCTTCTGGAGTCCCTGGGACCCCTTCTAGCAATTAAAATTTCCGTATCCCGGAGGAACATTCAAAATGGCGGCATGTCCAAAAATCGAGAGTTTCGAAGGTGCTCCCACAAATCCACAATTTTCTCATTCGAAAATCTGTCACAGATATGCAAAATTGTCATGGAATAAAACTTATTTACACAAAATTTGACCCCAGAAACTATGTTGGACCTCTGCGTCCTTTTCTTTTAGTGAAAAAATATAATTTAATTGAAAGATTCTTGTCACAATGCTGAAAACCCAGCGACTCTAATGCTTCAACTGCATGCCAAAAACTTCATCACACCTTCTAGTTACGTGATTTATGAGGTTCAAACCTCAGAATCCCTACCTCTTCCATAAGAGACAAATCTCATTTCCTCGTAATTTCCTGTTCTATGGCATTTGCAGGGACGGATTTACGTTTTTGGCGCCCTGTGCAGAAATTTTCGAGGCGCCCCCCTCGCACGTCCCCCCACCCCCGCCTGCGCATTTCCCAACCCGACGGTCTTCTTTGGTTACTACGTGCTAACTCTAACTAAATACGAATATTTCGAGTGAGTGAATGATTCTGGGGCAGAAACCAAAATCAGGTACTGTATTGTCCCGTCTCGTGTCGCCCCCTAGCGGCGAACAACGCAACCTCACAGTGTGTGCGCATCGTTTATCGTGGTCCTTATGTCGCGATCCGATCATGTTCGATTTGTCTGAATAAACCATGTTTCTTTGCTCAGTGAATCAGTCAATTGTCATTGTCATTGTCCTTCTTCACACTCAACATTACAGGTACCTGTTCCTGTTACTGTTAACTACGAAACTAAGAGAAAGTTTGACCCTTAAAGTCTAGGGTCAGGTCATTTAAAAGATGGAACACAATACAATCAATCAACAATCACAGTTTCTGAACTTTCGACGCAATTCTCAATTTTTTCAGAGTTTGGAAAAAAAACCCAAAATCTGGCACCCTGTGCAGCTGCACCGATGCACCATAGGTAAATCCGGCTCTGGCGCATTTGCAACAAAACCTATGTTCCAAGTTCTCGTTCATAAAGAAACTGTGGCAGCTGGCCCAGTCTTTTTATTGAACTGTCTAAAAAATGCAGAGAGCAATGATAGCCTCCCAAATTTCATGAAACTCCCCCCCCAAAAAAAAAATCCAAGATGGCGGCCAAGATTACCCTCTCAAAATAAAATTCTGCTGCAAATATGCCGTGTTAAGTGATGAAAAATATTCGTTCCTTATTTAGTTTGAAAAGATACTTGTTGGGGAGCCCCCCCCCCCCTTTTGGAAGCTCATATATGTTGTTCAGCCGAATCCCTCCATTTACTCTAAATTGCGGCGATTTTTGCTATTTCATTTCGTTTTTATTTCGATGCCCAAATTGGCAAGTATTTTAAACAGTAGACCTTCGATGCTGAAAACCCCATACGTAGGACATCCCGAGGGTGAAACACTTATTTTTTTGGAGGATGTTTTTGCGCTTTAGAGAGGCCAACTCTGAACGATCCACACCACATTTTTCATTGAATTTTCACCAATTTTCACCCTCTTTTTTGAGTGACCTGGCAAGCATACAAGAATTGGGCCTTCGATTCTGCAAGACTTCTTGTCATAGAAGATTATGAAAGGAGGGAGATTAACATCCCTGTACGAAATGATTCTTGCACATGCTGCATTTATCAGAACACGGAAGAGGGGTGCATTTAACATTTTGATCCAAGACTAATCATCACACCTTTAAGTAGTATTTAATGAGAAGTTGGACGCAAAGAATGACAGCTCTGCCCATTTTCTAATATGCTTAAAAAGTGCGGTGGAATCGGCTGGGACGCACATGGTGAAAGTAATTTTTCACAAAATCTAGGGATGTAATTCTTTTTCCTTCTTTCTTCTTAAAAAAAAAAAAAAAAACCTTTGGTGGGCGTTTAAGTGATACCAATGCGCAAGTTTTCCGTGTTAATTTTATTTGATTTCCGAAAAAAGCTGTTATCAGTCCACCATAGCCAATAGGCAAATTATACATGGCTATTCTTGCAGCCATCTTTGACTTTAGAACTTCCCTATTTGATTTAAGAATTTTCCAGGAGTAGCCCCGCAATTGGTAGAATCCCAATTTTAAGGCTTCATTTGAAAAGTTCGATGAAAAATACGTAGGATCAACAACAAATGGCTGAGGGAAAAGTAAAATTATAGGCAGACTTAGAGATGAAGTTCAAAAACCTTAATCAGCAAATTTTAACTTTGGAGAGGAGGATCATACTTAGCTCTCTGGGAAACGCGTTTTCGGAAAAAACCGGCGCTCCGCTTCGCTCCGCGCCGGTTTTTTTTTTGGGGGGNGCCCCCAAGCCCCCTTAGGACGCGCGCTTTTTTTAATTTGAGTGTCCGGCCTCAGTTGTTCTGTTTTTTAAGTGACCCGCGCGTCCACCGCGGGAAGAGTGTATTTTCCGAAGGGAGGGACGGGGGCGGGGAGTTATCAATCTTTGGAGGTTGGATTTACGTTTACACTGTTGGAGGCGTTGATTATTCGAATAAGGACTTCATGTCGCCAGATTGCAACAACAATACTCATGTAATGTCTGATATGAAAAAATGTCAACAAACGCTGTGGCAAGCTTGAATGACGATGGATGAAACTCCATAACCCACCGTGCGACAACATGGCCGTCTTGTCCACCAATTATCAGTTTGTAACCCACTGTGCGGCAATATAGCCATCGTATCCACCAATTATCAGTTCATCAGTAGGTGACCCATTGTACGACAACATTGCCGTCTTGTCCACCAATTTTCAGTTCGTGACCCACTGTGCGACAACATTGCCGTCTAGTCCACCAACTTTCAGTTCGTGACCCACTGTGCGACAACATTGCCGTCTAGTCCACCAACTTTCAGTTCGTGACCCACTGTGCGACAACATTGCCGTCTTGTCCACCAATTTTCAGTTCGTGCCCCACTGTGCGACTTCCCTCCTCTTTTGCCGCACACCCCCCGCCTAAAACTTTCAAAGCTCGCCATTTTTAAACGGCTAAACCGATTTCGTTCAAATTCAATACCAGCCTAGAACTAAGTAAGATCTTCCTTCTGTAAAAATTTCGGAGGGAAAGCTTTTAATTTGCGCGAGTTATTGCGCCCACAAAATTGAACCTCCCCCCCACTTCTCGCCCCCACCATTCGAAATGTAATACTTCGATCTCCGTTTTTTTTTTCGCAGAATGGTAGTCCTGTTCCTTTACTTCACATCGCAAAAAGTTTCACTCGGAAATTTTTTAAAATGAGGGAAATATAACCAAGCAAAAATCGGAAAAAACACGATGAGTCGGAAATACATACATAAATAAACACACACACACACACACACCCTCACACACCCTCACACACACATATATATATACACATAATATATACATAATATATAATAAAGCGAACTTCATGAGTTGTATAACCGTAACTTTTTATTTATTTTAAACAAAAAATGAAATGAAAACCCAAATGAAATGAAATCCCATGCAAAGGGTGCCCAGGGGTCTACATTGGGCAGACTTCACAGTATGTACATAAGCGCCTTGACGGACACAAGTTTAATAAGCATGAAAAAACGGCACTTAAGCAGCACGTAAAAGAAACAAACCATCAATTTGATTATGATAACACCAGAGTGCTAAAACAAGAGAAAAATGAGCAGGTCCGTTTAAATTTAGAAGGGTTAAGCATCCTTAAAAATAACAACGCTCTGAATTCACGGACAGAATTTTCCCATTTTGAGGATTATTTGGTAGGTACCGATACCTTTTAATTGTTACCCATTGTTTTGTCGACCATTTATTAATAGCTGTAACTCAGGCAACAATGTTTGTAATGTTCATTAGATTGTAACTATCTTTTCCTCCCTTCCCTGACCGTGTTGGATCGGAGGACTAGGTGTTTATTTCTCGTTTTTCCTTGTTTTGTCGCCTCAGTCTCTGCCGGATGATGGTGCGAATAATAAGCCACCGCAACGTCGCATTGTAAAAAAATTTTTTGCTTAAAATAAATAAAAAGTTACGGTTATACAACTCATAAAGTTCGCTTTATTAAACATAAAATAACCATGAAATTAGACTTACATATTATATATATATATAATATGTGTGTGTGTGTGTGTGTGTGTGTGTGTGTGTTAATTTATGTATGTATTTCCGACTCATCGTGTTTTTTCCGGCGCATTTCCCGCAATGATGCCCCGGTTCTTACCAGCTCTGCAACGAAAAAAGAGGGGGTTTTATGGATGTTTCCGTCCTTAAAGTGGGCGGCAGTTCCTGTGTTGCAGTTCTCCGACTGAGCGCTATGTTTCAAGGGTTCTCGTCAAGTTCTACAATGGTTTCGGGCATCATTTCTGGCGATTTTCTCGGTTTTTACCCGCTCCGCAACGAAAAATGAGGGGGGCAGCAGGGGTGTTTTGGATGTTTCCGTACTTCAAGGGGGTGGCAGTCCTTGTATTTCAATGATCCGACTGGTCGCAACGTTTCAAGGGTCCTCCTCAAGTTGGACATTAGTTTCGGGCATTATTTGTAGTGAATTTTCCGGTTTTTACCCGCTCTGCAACCAAAAATGAGGGGGGCAGGGGGCTAAGAGTTTTGAAAACTCACTTTAAAGTCGCAGGCTGCGTTTGCGTTAACATTGGCAAGAAGTTCCACTCGGATTTGATGCTAAGTTTGAAGATCTTCTGTGACTTTTCGCATTTTAATGCAATGTTTCATTGTAACAGGCCCATTCCCCCCTACGGGGGGGCTGTGGTGGCCCGGGGGCAATATGAAGACTTCGGTATCAGACTTGGAGTATTCGAGGACTGTTTGAAAAGAGAAACGGTAGAGCCGCCGAAGCTACTCCAAAAAATGAAGGTACGGACCCCCCTAACTTTTGACAGGGGGGTCAGATCGACTTCCGGTTTGCGCCAAAAATTTCCTTTTTCATGCTCTTTCTAACGATGTATCACATGATGGGGGTTGCCATTTGAAATTTTTGAGTTGCCCCCCGCCCCCCCTCCCCCTGGGGGGGGGGTGAAGAACTGAAAAGTACCTCAAAAAGTTTTCCCCTCAATATGAGGAAGGACGCCACAAACCGCAAATCGATATCATAATTAGAATTAAAGTTATGGCCAGTGGTGCGTAACTTTTGAATAACCCTGTATGATCCATAAGACAGTACACTGACTGCACCCAAAGCCCAAGGTCAAACTCGGACTCTGTTTGAGGAAGAAGATTGCAACCTTTGGTTGGGTTGCCATAAACCTGTCGAAGCGGTGCGATGACATGGGTTTTTCCGCCCTTCTGTCTATCACCAACCCTCGATACCGAGACTCTGTCCCATCGTCTCACTCCTGTCTAAATCTGACCCTCAAAATTTAAAAACGGCAAAAATGCAATTTTTTTTTAAATAGGTATTGAAAAACCGTTTTTACGGTTTACATTTTCTGATTCGCGGTGAAATTTTCAGGCGGACATGGATATTCCCGAGGGACTTTGCCTTTATTAACTCACGCCCCCCCCCCCCCCCCCCCCNCCCCCCCTCTAAGAAAAAATCTCCTCAAAGGAAAACTATTCAGAATGCTTCCAAGCAATTTCGAGGGATTTTTTTTCCCCTTCTAAATTTACAAAGAAGTTCAATACCTCGGAAATGAAAATTGGTGAACTGATTTCGGGAGAAATTGCTCTTGAATCAAAGTATTCAGAAAAGAGTTCTTATCGGATTACATTATTTTATCATCTATTTGCTTTTAAGGCAAGGCATGCAGCTCGCTCGAGTCACTCACGAAGCAAGTGACAGAGGGTCCAGGGGCGGAGCCCTCTGCTAGATGCGAGGCGAGCCAGAGCGGTTAGTAGTTAATTAAAATGATATAAACGCGCATTAAAATAATGACGTTCCATTGTACTTTATGTACGATTTTGCAAAAAATTACATCCTGTAATGTTGACATCTAACTGATAATACGACCAAAATGAAAATTAAAAACTTTTCTTTGAGCATTTGAAGACGGATGTTAGCTATTTTGGTGGTATTTTTACAATTATATCCAAGTTAATTCTTATACTTAAACGGTGGTGAATTATATTCAAAGCAATATTAAAGACAATGTTCTTTTGTAATTATTACCAACAAATAATGACGATAAGTTGTTTTGGTTTTCAAACGAAGAGACTTAAGAATGGGACCCGGAGAAAAAGTGATTGATCAGCTGGATTTTGTAGAGGACACTAAAGGAAACGGTGGCGATAAAGGAAAATTAATCATGACAAATTTGAGGATCATTTGGCACTCTCTGTCGGTGGGCAAAGTTAACATGTGTAAGTATTACAGTATTCCTTCTTTTAATGGAAAGGTGCAGAAAAAAATACCACTACTCTTGCAAGATTCTTTTTTGCGTCGTGTGTCAGAATGGAGCTCTTGCATGCGTCAGGGATTTGCAATTGAAATACTTTCTAGCATGTAAAATTTCGTGAGAAATTTACTTTTTAGCAATTTTCTATATTCTTGGCAAAAAGGCTAGTTGAGGTAACACAAGCCACGAATGACACCACTTGCTTATTTCAGCCCGTTGATTTTTAAGTTAGCTTTTAACCAAAATAAATAATTGAATGGTAAGTCTACTGATATGATTTAAGGATACCGAATTCATCGGGTTTTATGTGTTTTTTTTTGTTCTTGGTTCTGACGAATGAAGCTATTGGATTCTCATGCATAATCAATATTTCATCAAAAATGGTAGTATCAGTAAGTATATTTTAAGAACATTTAGACCGGCACCTGTATGTTATGTTATACTGACTTTTGAGTATCAGTACTTGCTGATCTGAAACAAGCGAGCTTTCGAGAGCTGATTGCATCAGTAGGTACCAAAATTTTGAGAAGCATAGGAATCATTATCCTGAGATTGCTAATGAGTGTAAAATAAGCATGCTTTGGTTAAAAGTAAATGCTTTCATTGTACCAAATCATCGAATAAAGTTACTTCAAGGACATGGACATTGCTAACTTTGGAAAAAGTCAAAAATTTTTGGAGGTTGTCTGTCTAAGGTAACACTGTGTGGCGGCTAGCCACCACTCCGCCAACCAGCGCAGCTCATTGGCTGGAGCTCGACACGGTCACGGCTACGTAAGCCGCGAGCTCATCTCTCTTGCTCACTCCGCGCCCGTCAGTTACACGGGACTCACGTCGTACAGCACCCAGCGGAGCACATGCAGCCGGCCGGCTTGCCCCTTTCCAACGGCCCTGTTTAGGGCCACCAGACGATGAGCACCTCTCATGGCTTAGTCCATAACTATGATGTTTATCGAGCGACGCGAGCGTCTTTTCAGTTGTTTCTTCTTTTCTTCAAGTGAACCGCGCAATCACCGCGGGAAGGAAAGTGTATTTCCCGAAGTGGGAGCAGGAGACTTGGACTTTACCTTGACCCACTGTGTGACAAACGATTTGTCCAAAATCCTCCTTCCCCTTATCCACTGAGCAACGAAAAGATCGTCCAGTAACTTCCTCCCCCTGACCCACCGTGCGATGAACAGTTGGTCCAAAAACTTTTTCCCCCTGACCCGATGTGCGGCCCCGCTCCGGCCGGCTCCCCTCATACCGTGCACCCCCCCTCCCCGCCTAAAACTTTCAAAGCTCACCATTTTCAAACGGCTCAGCCAATTTTGCTCAAATTCAATACAAAAACCAGGAATATTGATGAAAGATTCTTTAGTAAATCGGTAAAAAAACATAGAGAAATAATCTCTAAAAGTAAAGACAACAACAGATAACTCCCATTTCAAAGCACTCCTTCATGAGCAGGTGTTTTTAGTGTGTTTTCCAAAGAAAATACACCATAGCATTCTCCCATGATGTCGGACCCAGATTAAAGACCTTAGAAAGAGCACCAATCATGGGTTATAGGTCTTAATGGCTTTAATCACCAGCCAAAACGTCTTGCGAATGTTTTCATAAATATTTAGCCTTGTTTTCCACTGTTTTTATTGTGTTTTCGCTATCGCACACACCCTCACATAGGTACCAACACACCCCCTCACACCAACACACCCCCTCACACCAACACACCCTCACACACCAACCACCCTCACACACTGACACACACACCCTCACACACATACATACGAATTTAAATGGCATATATTTTTGTGATCTACAACCTGTGGTGGGTGCTCTTCACAAGGTCTTAGATCTGGGTCCGACATAATGGAAGAATGCAATAATGTATTTTCAAAATACACTAAAAACACCTGCTCATGAATGAATGGTCTGAAATGGGAGTTCACTGCTTTTGCCTTTACTTTTGGAGTTGATTTCTTTATTTTCTTTTATCAATGTACTGAACAATCTGTCATCAATACTTTGACCAGGGGAAGACTATTCTGAACATTAAAACCAAGGTGCATTGTTTCCAAAATTTATCATCGATAGAATTGTGCTTACTAATAATATGATGATCAAAAAGCCTATTCATTATCATATTTAAATAAAATCCATTTAAAACAATTTTATTTTGTTTTGTTTCTTAAACAGACACTTCGAGGAACAGCAGAGGCGCTTCATATCCTCACAAAAGCAAAGGATTCTCGACTAGAATTTATTTTTACGAATTTGATACCGGGGAATTCCCGGCATTTCACGTCAGCAATGGGAGTTTACAAGTAAGGTAACAATTGAGAGAATATGACTGTTGAAAATGTTCAATAAGCATGATACGAGGTCTGTTAGATTAGAAACCGGATTTTGGTGATAACTAGCCCACAATGCGTCCAAATTAGGTTTTCTTGAATTTTTCTGATAGCTGGAAATAAACTTAAGAACGCTACGTTCACCAATTTGAAAAATCGTGATTAGCTTCGTTGGTATGTGGCTTGAAGTAAGGCTACCTCATGGGTGTTATGCGATTTTCATGTTTGACCAAACTTGTCTTTCTTTTTTCGGTCTTGCACTACATTTTTCAACCCAGAAGGAGGATTGGAGTTTCGTCTTCATATCATAGCCGTACACTCAAGCATTGTCACCAAAAATTACCCTATCCAAAAATGTAGGATCGTTGTCAGAACGTTCAAGCAGCTAAAGGGAAATTGACATACAGTTGGATTTTTGTTCATCGGACAACAATTAAGGGGCAAGTGTACCTGAAACTCGATGCATGTCTACATATTCTATCAAAATTGTATGTACAGAGCCTTCAGAAATAATACACTGTTTAGGAAGCTCGAAACGACCATTTTCGAGCACTTTTGCCTGCACTTCTTCCACCTAACATATGCCAGTTGCCGTTGTTGGTCGATTCCTGTGCTCTTCATCTTCAAGGGACTCCTGACCAATTTTGATTCGTTTAACCCACTCAAAACAGTGAGAAAAACTCATAAAATGATCTTTGTAATCTTTACTTTGCATACCGAAAGTTTCGGTACAAGGTGTATCGAGTTCAAAACAAAATTTAATGTTAAATCTTTGCTCTATCAGTGATCGCATGATGAAAATCGCAGAGCGCACCTGACTTACTCGTTCTCAAGATGACATAGAATAAATACTGATCAAAATAAAGAAAATCTGTGAATCTAGCGTTCTTCAGTATGTTATCAGCTATCAGGAAAGTCTGAGAAAACCTAATTTGGATGCACACTGGGCTAGTTATTACCAAAATCCGGTTTCTAATCTAACAGACCTCGTATGTTGCTGTTTTTTCAACTCTGATTTACTTTAATGCATTGGCATCAGAGGGTACGATCCCTTGTAGTATTCTACTTACAGCAGTTCAAATTTCCTGCATTGAAGGCAAGGAGCCAGGTTGGAGGCTCCGAGTTGCTCAACCAGCACACGGTGGGCCAGATCGTGTCCGTAGCGGCGCTTAATTGAATCGAGGTATGCGAAAACGTCCGATGTCCAAAAAATCAACTTTTGGTAAACCGCAAAAAACTGTGGAGGCCTTTAGAATCGGCGTTTTGAAGAAAATCAAGGCATGTGTTTCTTAGTAAAAGGTTGTAGAAAAGGCACACAACTGTGTCCCATTCCAACTCCCATTCAGTGCTGAGTAATTTTAAAAAAAGGGCTTTGGACATCGGACGTTTTCGCATACATTGCAAAAATCTGCCCAAAAACCATTATTTTTGACCCCTCCAAAAACCTTTAAACTAGAGTAAAACATAATGTCAGACCTCCAGTAACACAAAAAAAAATATTTCTCTTTTCTTCGAGGCTTCAGTGAAAGTTACGTGACGGCGGAAGAAGAAAAATAATGGACATCGGACGTTTTCGCATACTTTGAGATTGCCCCTCAAGATATGTGTTCAGGATTGCCTAGAATGCATGAAATCGATTAGAATTATATAAAGTA